AAATCGAAATGCCGAAGTTCCGAATCCTATTTCCGAAACAGCCGAAGTTCCGAAACTTAATGGGGCCCCTCAACCTAACTATTTACTCCTATTACAAAATACATCTATTTACAACTTATAACCTAAAAAAAGAACAATATGATCATTAAAAAACAAATGTCGCCGCCGAATATTTGAAACGCCATATTTGAAGGTTGAAATGGGAATTAGCGCGCGCAATGTCGTGTCAGATAAACCCAGATGTGGATTCTCAATCATGCCCTAAACCTAACTTAACCTATGGTGCATCCTATATCGCACCCTGGTGATCCTCCACAAACTGGGTTGCATGCCCCTATACGATTGTCCGTTAGTCAAACTCGCATCCAACCTTCTCAGAGACAACATTTTAAGCCTAAAAATGTCGCTCTTTTTGCATGATAGTGCGTCGCATACTTTAACGCATTTTCATTCCAACGTTAACACAATCTTATGTTCCCGCAGAATTACGATTTGTTGAAGTATTTAAGTACCATGTATTGACATCACGTATTTCAGCATCGGTTTCAATTTCATTGCATTTTTCGCCGCGATTGCGAGCGCTGCGTTTTAAAGTTGGTTCATCGACGACGCTTTAACGGTCTGAATGAACCCAGATCATGCATTAATGTCGTTGTCGGCCGAAACAGAAATTAAAGCTGTGTTTTAATCGTCCGTCAGTTGTTCCTAATTCAGACCGTGCGAACTCCACTTACTCCGGCGAAGATTTAAAGGCAAAAATCTTCATCCGAAAGTGCGCAGCGTGCAGCTGAAGACTCTCCGTTCCATATAAAAGAATACAGAACAGGTGCCTCAGCGCGAAAGATAATTACAACATGGTACTTAGCGCCACAACAATTTTTCAAATAGAAAAACGCTGTTAACCGGCGCTTATAACGTGGACCCCCATAAGACAGCTTTCAGTTTAGATCTGAATTCTAAGTGAAAAATATCTTGGAGCACAACGTTAACCGTACGCGTGCACTGCGATAACGCTCGTCCAACTGAGGATCAAGAATAGCCATGCAAACTGGATATTAGAAACCATGCAGTTTTCGGGAAAAAAATCAATGAACATTGGAAGCTGCATGTGTTCTTAGTCTTCATCAGACGCTCCTGGTGGTTGGAAAGACTGCGTGTGCTGCTTTTATTTTGAAGAGTCGTCGTCGATTACCAAGTTGGAATCAAAATCCGCCAACTCTTATTGCGCGATCGAAATTGAAAGCCTGGATTTATAATTTTAAATTTTGTCACGTTTTTGTTGTGAAAACAGCCATCATTATTGATGGTCCTAATTTTCTCAGATCAAAATGTATTATGCCAAACTTAGTTGAGGTATTATGCACCCTAATTTAAACCTCGCACATGCGACCGAGGAATCATGCACCTAACAATTAGACCTGAACTTTCAGTGTGAATATTGTTTATTCACTTCATTATTTCATCTCAGATTTTAACGTGAAAAATCATGCAGCAAATTTTGAAATTTCATGGGCACGACCAGGAGATCTCGAACCCAGACTTAATGATCTATTTGATATTTTATGCAAAGCTTATATGGAAGTTCTGGATTCGAGATTGAACTACAGTACCTATAGTACCTATAGTATGAACCTGAAAGTTTTTAGTCATCCTCTTCATTTTTAATCCAATGCAGCAGCTTAATTAGTGGTCGTTGTACATATCAGTGGTCGTCGATCGGTCGTCGTCGTCACGTCGTCCCTTGAAATCATCGTCGTCGTCTTCGACGTATTAATCCGTCATTTGTCTCATCTTTACACAATCCGATGAACATTCGAAGTCAATGATTAAATAAACCTTGCACAGTTCGTCCTTCTGAACTTCCGTTCAGTCGTTTCCAGAACCTCAGTTTCAGTTCGAATTCAGTCGTTTTCAGGCTTCAGTTAGTTTTCAGAACCTCAATTCGATTTTCACTTCTGAACTCCAGATTTTTAGAACAGCTTACAGCGTACGATTTAAATCAACACCAACGGTCACTCTGGCGTAGGAAGATCATCAATGCATGCATGTGGTTGCGTTAATTAGAATGTTCAGTTTAAGCGATTGGAAACTTCTAATCAGAACAAAGATGATTTCATTTTGTCCAATATCTTGATCTGATTGTTCACATGTTGTTTAATGGAGGACTTCATTTGCTTTTGATCCTCCATCATGGCTTATACTTCATGTTAAGATTGGATCATAAAGGCAATAACAATTCGCACGCAAAAGCATAATTTAGCTTGTATATAATTTTGTCCAAAAAAACTAATCCAAATATCGTATTGAAAATTATATTCAATTCCTTAAAGACGCTGTTATTCCTGCATATAGTCAGGAAACAAATTAATCCTAAAAATTATTAGCTTAAATGTTTGTTTTTGGTGCAAGCGAAATCATGAATGCTTGCGTGTTTTGTTCACTTTAAACCGATGCAGACTTGAGCATTATAATGTAAACCCCTTGCTTGCGTTCCCTTCAGAAATGACGCGTTGTTAAATTCCGACCCTCTGCATATAGCAAGGTCGATAAATAAGGACATAACATGACTGTAAGCATATAGCAAAGTCAGGTCCAAAATACGAGGAAGTACAAAACTCAGGAAGTACAAAAAGCACGTCTAGAATCTGGTCGTGAGCATATAGCTTGCTTTTACAGCGAGTCTTAGCCATGACCCGTACGCATCTATAGCAAAGGTCTGGGAACGAGTACAAATGCCAGTCAAAAGGACATCTCTAAAAATTCAAACATGTGAGACATTCTGCTCAATTTCCGAATACCTTCGAGGTTCCAGATGTGCTCTTGAAGTACGAGCCTTCATGAACACTCCAGGAACTTCATAGCTCAGTTGCTTGGACGCGCCCCGGACACTCGGCTGTGAACTCTCCCCGAATATCAGTCGAGCCCACAGGCCTCCCAAAAGATGAACACACGAACGGCGGCGCCTCCCCCCACATGCACACAACTGACACCCGGAGAAAATCAACATCACAGTCAATCATTCAAAGCATGCTCCGGTACAGGCGACTGAACTTCGAAGTCACTGGAGCATACACGAAGATTCCTACTTCAAAAGCACAACTGAAACCTCGAAAGCATTCAGAAATTGCACAAAAGGACAACAATGGACAAAAATGAAATAATCCCCATGCCCTCACCCCATTGAAGTCCAACTTGCTATCATCAATTTCCTTGCCCTTGAAAGTGGCACCTGCAATTTTTATTAGAAAACGTCTGACGCATTTGCGTGCACTTAAGGATCGCCTTTAATCACTTTTCTTAGAGCATAAACGCCCCCCTGCCCCCCCCCCCTTTTGGCGGTCTGGGTTGTACGGATGTACAGACGAAGAACAGTCAAAGCAAATATCGAGATGTGGCACGTTGTGCATTGGATTTGTCAAAAACCATAAATCTTGCGCCTACAACATTCCCGCTGTTTTGGCGAGTTGTTTTAACGAGGTTTACATTTGTGAAACCGATTTACAGAGTCTATATTGACAGAATTATAGACAGTCTTGTCTGAAATTAAAACCGATATAAAACATCGTGTATCTTGTTCTGATATAATATAAATTTTTGTTCCAAATTCTCGCGCGAATTGGAAGAAGTAGGCCCATAACACTGAAATTAAATTACTAAAGACTTAAAGACGACAATATCACGATTCAGAATACAAAGTGTTCGCTTTGATCTTCAAACTCAAACGAAACCAATTTATAAGTTCTCATCACCCGCATAAATAATCTACAGGGTGTCCCAAAAAAATGTCCCCTCTATTGAAATCAAGCTTTTGTTCGAATCTGATTGCCTTAATATTATGATAAACCCAATTGAAAGCAAGACGCTTTATTTGAATGCCTCAACCTAATAAATATGCTATTTACACACTACTGCGTTGATCATGCATTCAAATTCCAACAAAAGCTTCATTTCAATAGCGGGGACTTTTTTTTGGGACACCCTGTATTTACAAAGAAGACAAATCGACAAACCGATTACATGCATGCCCAAGGCCCATAGTCATAGAGAATTATATCTAAAATCTGGTCTCGCATGAACTAACCTTACACGTTGCCATTTCCCTTCAAATCTTGCGCTTTTTCTCCAGTTTTTGCTCTAAAGTGACAAGAAATGCCAGTGTGAGTTATAGAAAACGTATGATGGTTGAACTAGTCCAATATTTAGAAGATCTGTATTTTTACAAAGGCAGTCTGTATTACAAAGGTTAGCATGCATTCAAATTCAACAAAACGCGTTGATCCATAGCGGAGAACATTTAGAAATAGGTTGTTTTTAAGTATAAATACCTGTAGAGACGTAGTCATCAACAGCGCTAACAAGATAGACGCCTTGTTATCCCCCCACGTTCTCGCGGTTTTGAAGATTTTTCACAATACTATGTCCAAAACGTCTAGCCCTAACAAGCAAATGTTCAATAACGACTTTCTGTATCAAAGCACGCCCAACTCCTTTCCAAATTTCCCTCCTCACGTCATCAAATTCTCTGGCCCTAATTGGTCGGAAAAGGAATACATGCACGCTATTGTTTTAAACTGGACGAAGGTTTCAGTAATTTACTAATTTGCCTGTTTTATTTACATTTCAAAAGAATGAAAAGGTCTGTTAGGTTGGCTTAACTGTTGACACTCTTCAAGAAAGAAATCCATCTTGGATAAGACAGAATAAAATAACTTCCTGTACAAATTTGCAAAAGCAACGCAAAATGATGTAAATTAGTTAAATTGTAACTCGTTTTGTCGAAATTTGAAGGCTTACGTTCAGTAATTCCCAGCGATAGAACTACATGACTTCGTTTTTAAAAGTTTCACAACTGTGACGCAAAACTAAGACGAATTATTGGAAACAGGTATCAAAACTTACGCTGGTATATTACATGCCATTTGTATTTTGTACATATTTTTTGACTGCCCTAATTGCAGATACAGAACTTAAAAAATCTACTGAAATCGCATGCAAAAATGTAAGCCGTATGCTACAATTCTCAGATTTATTAAAACTCGTACAACTTAAAACAATGTTTTTAATAATTATACTAAACCATATTTTGGGCACTTGGTATAAAATAAATGCCAACATTTGTGAATACGTACAATGATATAACTTATGCATGAGACGTTTTACATAATATGGCTAAAAACATGATCAGTGTGCATGGTTATCTGCATGCATGAATACAGTCAAACTTTGCATGCATGTATATAGTGGGTTTCAATGAATATAGTGCAGTTCACTACCCTCCCACAACGGTCCAAATAAAAAGCTGCAAGCAAATTTTTGCGACAAATGGTACAGAAACGCATTCGTCGGTACAGAAACGCGAACGTTATGCGTATTAATTTTATCAGCATCGGTTTGGTTTGATTAAAGTGGCAGTCAAGTCCGTTCTGCTTATAACAATGTGACGACATGTTTTCAATTTTTCTGAACATAATTTCTACACTTAATATGTATATATGCATTTTGGACGCGTCGATTCAAAAATTGTAGATAATGAGATGAGATGATAATGAGGTGATAAACCTCATTCAGCTCCACTGTTCGAATTGCATTGGACGCGACTTAACTGCGATGTTTAACCCGGGCCATAAAAGCGTATCGAACCTAAATTGTGTTAGATATTCAAACTGCAGCACGTCGCATTTTAAAGACAATATGAGGTTCAAAATGTAAACGAGCCGTTTGTTTGGACTAGACTTCCACTTTAATGTGCTTGGCGCCCAGTGGTGAACTTAGCACGAGCAGATGTCATTCGTGACAATTGTCACTGATACATGCAGGGCACTTTTCGTCCCCTGAAAAATTTAAGGGGGGAGGGCACGTACCCTCTGTTTCCTATACGCCCCTGAATATATTTATCTATAGGCAACTATAACAAGTTATACTCTAGTCTGCCCCGACGTAAGTGTCTTTGAATGAGATTCGACGGAAAGATTTGTTTCTTTTTTCATTTCTGCTAGCTTGATTGCTTTCTTTATTGCTTCAAACAAACAATTCCCAGCGACATAATCATTATCAACCAAATTGACCAACATGTAGCTATCGTGAATAGTGTCGATTATCTCACGTGATTTTGATTCCTCGGGATATAGCCTTGCCCATTGGTGTTTCCACAGAGCAAATGCTTCATCCTGAAAGTAGAAAAAATAAAATTATAACGTGAAGTAAAAGGTCGTTTGCAAAGACGTTAGCTACAAATTTACACTAAGAAAATCCAAACTCGTGTAAGCCAGACCTACGCTAGTATGTAGTTTATAAACACAGCTTCTGTTGACTATATACATGCACATGCATGTTCCCCGTGTCATCAAACTACACGATACACAGACAACTCAGCAACAAATTGCATTTTCTCAGGATATATTTTCTTTTTTTAAAACAATGCAATCAAAATAACATCATACTATAGAAAACTTGGGAAGATTTTTAATGAACCTTTTTTATCCTTCAATACTGTTATTCAAACCGCAGGCTCTAAGTGATGTTGACCTAATAAGCATACTTTGGCCGGTATGGACCAATTCTGTGGTATGCTCGAGCCGTGATGATGTGAAAAATCAGGAAGTGTAAATGTTTTTACGATACTATAAAATTATGAAATATTGATTGTCGGTTTTTTGAGGCTTTTTGTCGAAAGAAGGGAAATCGACCTAGGTCTATAGCAAAGATACAACACATTAAACGTGTTTTTTTTCAATAGAGCAGGGAGATTAATTGAATAAAATCGACTTTTGTCATTCGGAAGAAGTGTGATTTGAATGATATTTAAGCATCTTTTGAAATAGGTGTAATGTTAATAAGATAGGTAACAGACATGTGAGGGGGACGCTTTGAAAGTAGTTTGAGATGTTGTAGAATTGTGAGTTTGTGTTTTAGTTTTTACGTGAATAAATCAGGAGTTAATCGGAAAAGAAGGGCTTCCTTACATAATTTATACACAGAACACCGAATTCGGCATACTTGATTTGGGTGAAACTTATTCAATACAGTGAAAATTGTTTAAAACCTAAATCGTCCAATTCATCGATCCCTAATTTGGCTGTTGCCGAAGAATAGGTTTATATCATATTACAAACTATAAAATTAGGTATAAAAAATAACAAATTACATGCAGATTGCTGCGATTGCAGACTATCCCAATTAACAAACTTTTAAACTTTATTTTCGTTATTTTTTAAACCAACAATGTTTTTATTCTAAGTTTCTAACTGACATTTTATAAAACAATGGAATTTAAATAATTTTTGTAGCTTGTTTTAAACAGTTACTTTAAAGATTCCAGAATCTTAAAACATGTCTTTTGTCCTTTTCACCTGCTTTTTTTAGTTTTCAAACCGTTGATAAGTTCAGGCACATACATGCAAGTTCTGCAAGTGTTTTACAATCTACAAACCGAATAAAACGCTATATACCTAGCTTGCAGGCTTGAATATATTACCTCATATATCATCTTATATTTTATTTATTTACATATTAAGATCGACATGTAACCAAAATCATTGTGATTATGCTGGTAAATCAGGTAATTGGCAAACAGTATTTACAAATTGAGTTCAAATTTCACCAACATTGTGAAATCAACATAGTATTTATGCTCTGCAACACACGATATCCAACAAGACATCCTTTTTCAATTAAGACACTCCGACGTCATTCGACATTGAAGTTGCGAACCATCACAACTTTACAACATTCAACGTTATTTATTCCTAAAAATAAATGCTGCAGTGCAGCTTGTTACGACGAAATGTTGTCTTGTAAATATGGATATTCTCCACGAGACATTTCGCTCTGCGTTATACGAAGTATTTTCGTTTGCATGGGAAGCTTGTGCAAAATTTTGTATTATTACATGATTTTTCGATAGCACGACTTTTGTGCTACTTGGCATATTCGTGAGTAATTTTTAAATGTCCATGCACAGGCTGTTCCTACCACATATAGACACCTCTTGGGATCTTAATAAAGAAATGGTATTAAACGAAGCAATCGCAAGGTTACGGAAGGATTCTTTCACAAAATGGACTGAAACTTTCAAAAATACAAGTCGGTATATTTTTAAATAAACTGTAAAGCCGATAGATGGTGTAGCGAATACTATACAGTGTAGCCAAGCGACTTCTCTCTGGCTGCTCACGGCTGCTCACTCACGTGAGATATTCCATCAGAAATAAAGACTTAATTGAGAAATCTTCTTACTGTTCCAAATCACAACTAATATTCCGCCGAATTTTCATATTCTGTTTAGATATGCTTTGTACATACACAGAATGCAGATTGTTTCCTGAACTGCATAAAAGAGTAATTCTACATCACAAAGCTCAGGAGTTGTGAATAATACGTACGATGGCAGCTTTTAAAGTAGTGACCGTGTGTCTATACGCGACATAATAATGAAATATAATATAAAATTATGATTAGTAGATCCAAATTTAAAGAGTATATACTTAAATAGATTAATTAGCCTGAAACAATCTATAGGACTTGCTGTATCAATGACACGAATGAAGTTACCGCAAGTTTATATGTAGACTGTAGAGTGTAAAAAAGACAGCTTTAGCCAGTCTTTAAGGGACATATGCAAAGACAGATTTTTGAAATTCTTAACAGTCCTTTAAGTTTCAGAAATGCTTTACAAGAAAATTGAACATCCTTCTTTTAGCTACTTTAGTGTTACGATTATTGGAGAAAATTTTATTAAATTTGGGTACGGTAAACATTTTTACAACATGACTTGTGTATTATTTTATTAATTCAGCGAAAAAGGAAGGCGAAAATGTAGTGAAAGATTTTAATTTCAAGTGAAGTGATGTGAGGTCATGATTGCAATGCCATGTATCATGCGAATATACGCAATACTTTAGCGAATAAAACTTTTTAAGACCCAAATATATAAGACAATATGCAGTAATAATGTAATATATAATAATATTCTACTTGCGTTTCTTTTTTAATATTACATTATATTAAGGACATTGAAAAATAAACTTCCCGCTTTGCTTGATCGCTCTAGGACTAGTTGCTTCTAGAACAAGTTGTTCTTTTGGTTTTGTATATAATAGATTTAAATTCGGAATTTATATTTTACCTCATGAAGTATAAATCAAACAAATACTACACCCGCTGGACACTATACGGAAGGGATCGCATGCATGCAATCAATCATCTTATAACCAATCCGTGAAGATATTTCTACTCGAAAAAGATGTCAGCATTTCAGCTGAAACACTTTGAGCGAGCGAGCTTTCAAAACCCAACCTCGAAAATACCTGACGAATGACGATAAAAGCAATAATCTCTTTAACTCATATTACCTTCCAGATCTGGAAACTAACAGGATCAACAACAGTGGGTTGAATAATCTCTTTGCCAGGAAATACTCCCCAAGTGACGGCAACAGGGGAAGCCAACTCTTCACTGATTATGTCAATCTCCCCCTACAAACATTAAAATGGACCAAAAAGAGAGTGAGCAGAGATATATAGTTATATTCAAAAGACGATACTGAACAAAAAATAATAAAAATAAAACACCGGACGTAAAAAATATATATAACAACATAGCAACAGAAGATAAACGAATAAATCAAAACATATCTATTGCAAACACAACAAAAAAAACTTATAGAATTGCAACTTCATTGTGTATATTCACGGGAAAACAAAATATTGCGCTGTCAGCCGAAATGTTAGCTCAAGTCAGCGGGAATGTTATAGAAGCTTAATTCAGCAGGAATTTTAGTTCAAAATCAGGAATGTTAGCTCAGGTCAGCAAGAATTTTAGTTCAATTCAGCAGGAATGTTAGCTTAAGTCAGCAGGAATGTTAGCTTAAGTCAGCAGGAATGTTAGCTCAAGGCAGCAGGAATGTTAGCTCAAGGCAGCAGGAATGTTAGCTCAAGGCAGCAGGGATGTTAGCTCAAGGCAGCAGGGATGTTAGCTCAAGGCAGCAGGGATGTTAGCTCAAGGCAGCAGGAATGTTAGCTCAAGGCAGCAGGGATGTTACAGTAACTCATTTTAGCAGGAATTTTAGTTCAAAGTCCGGAATGTTAGTTCAAGTGATACCCCGACTCGCAGTCACCATTATTAACATTTCTTTGGACAAGAAAGTTGATACACTTCCCTGACGATGCCCCATAATGGTCCCTCCAAAATATGGTCTTTTTGAATGTTTTAGTAAATACAACGGTTAAATTCAAAGCCGTTACAGACAGTGACAGACCATCGAGAGAATCAAGATATTATGAAACCTTTTATCATGGTAATTATTAATAAATTTCTCACTTTATGATCAACAACATGATAACTGACACCAGGATAGTCCATTTCTAAAACTTCCAATAACTTGTCAACAACTTCCTTTCTCGTGAAGAACTCCAAATACGCCTAAAATAGAATTTTAAACGTAGTTCATTCAATGTTTTCTTAATGTTTTCCTTAAACGTTACACTTAGACGTCGAGCTTTGAAGGCGAAATTATTTTTGCTTATTCGCACATATAAGGCAATACTGAGAACCTCCAGTACACACACTGTACTGTGCAAATGCATGTTTCTTAATCATTACGATCGTATTGTTATGATTAGCTCTATTAATAATTATCATTATATAATATGCAGTGTTTTATTGACGAATCCGCCATTTTGAAAAGCGATAATAACACATCTGCGATTATTCATGATAGTAAAACATGTGCGATTATCGTGTTTGATCCATCGATCTGGAATCACTAAGGGGGATAAAAAAATTTTCATTTATATCATTCTCAACACTCAAAAAAATTCCATATTTCCGCGCATCCATGTATTATTCTCTATTTAAAACTCGCATAAAATCACATAAATGATAAAATAATACGTTTGTATTTACTGATTTGCTACCTTTTGATAAACGTATCCACCAGCTCCTCCCCAACCGAAAACTGGATCAGTTGACTTGGCAGCATTAGCATGTGGTTGACTGTTAATAGTCAACACTCCACTACGATTTACCTCCACAAGATCATCTGAAACCTCTGACGTCTCAGGTGCCAAATCATCTTCATTCCAGGGAAGCATGGTTACCTAAAGAACAACCAAATTAATTAAAGATGCGGATTTAAACGGCTGAATTATTGAAAACCATCAAAACCGTTTATGTCAAATCATTCTGTGATGAAGAGTTGATGAATAATAGTTCGATAGACATACAGATAGAATGACAGACACAGACAAACAGACATGCATACATATAGAATGATAGACAAAGATAAACAGACATAGGGTACAGATAGAATGACAGACACAGACACAGATAAAATGACAGGCACAGACAAACAGATAGAATGACAGACACAGGTAAACAGACATACAGATAGAATGACAGACACAGACACGGACAGACGGAATAACAGACAGACACCTTTGATCCGTTGACATTCTTCTCTCCACTGATATAACAGACAAAGACATCATAAACATCTTGAACAGAACTCAACTCTTCACCCCACATTTTTAACAAGGTCTCCTTCTTCGTTCTGTTTCGCAAATAGAACAAATGGTAATCACTGAGATCACCAAATGATGCCGCAGCCGAGTCTCCCCATCGACTGTTCGGAAACTCATCCCATTCGGACGTGCGATGTACATAACTCTTTGTTCGCGATGCCCAAAATATTGGACGAACTTCTTCCTTGATTCGCTTCACGTTCGCTGAAGGTTTCCAAGGTAACGAACGTGCGTACAGTGGCTCAAGTGACCATAATTTAGTCTGTTTCAAAATTTCAGTCGTTGCAACCTATAAGTATACAATCTTAGGTTTAATTGAACCCCGACCATGCAGGATGACTGCGACAAATTAAAACTACAAATCGTTTCCTCACAATAATTAACTGTATTTAAAAATATTTTTTATCACTAGCCATTTTTTCATATCAGAAATATCTTTAAATAATAATAATTGTCTTTGAAAGGGCACGGAGATTCCCAAACTAACAAAAACCAAAGCTTTCGACACCCGGGGCGGGATGTATCAAGCCCGTCTAGCTTAAACGGTGGATAAGTCAAATGTTAATAACACTCTTATACATCTTACTTGAATGAGTCAACTTGAATATTATGCACTGAATATGTAATTGTAAACAGTATCTTTGTAAAAGGTTAAAAACATTTAGTTCGATTGTTAAATAAAACGATAGACTTGCTTTCCATTTTAAACTCAACTAAAGTGTACGCCAGCCTCTAACAATTATACCAAAAAGAACTACCAGGTACTCGTGAAGACAATAATGGCGTTGAATCGCTATTGTGAAATACCTCGCGGTTCAAAGTATAGAAGTGAATCCCAGGTACAAGCCCACTAGAGAAAAGTTCGTTGACCATTTTAATGGTATAGTCTACACCATATGTACGGATAGCCAAATCATCGTCTTTGATTGGTTGGATTGCTTCAAGAATTTCCTTTGGTATATCGAGTTTCGATAGTTTAACTAGATGTCGCAGAGAATCGTAACTCTAAAAGATCCGTTAAAATATTGAAGTACATCTATAGATACGGCATATTTGTAGCGACTTTATAAAAAAAAAGTTAGCTGAATAGGAGAAAAACGAGCCGGGAAAGAATCATCTAAAACCGTCTACAATAAAAACAATGATTCTTGTGGGTAAGTAGCTAAATCAATCCATTAGTTTATAATCCACGAACTTTAGTGAGTCAAACAAACCTGAATAGGCATGACTCCGGGTATGATAGGTACATCAATACCAATCTCACGACAATCTTCAACAAACTTAAGAAATGTTTTGGCTTCAAAGAAAAGCTGGGTAATGATAAAGTCCGCACCAGCGTCAACTTTTTCCTTTAAATGTGTCAAATCTTCCTCGTAACTACTACAGTCAGGATGGCCTGTCGGGTAACCTGGAAAATGTTTCACTTTTTAGATATTGCTTTTTAGATTTTCTGATATCCAACGTATGGTCATGTAGATTTTAGACTTTAACTAGCTGGGGCCGGTTCTACGAAGGCTGCATGGATAGCGCTATCCACCAGATAGTGATTTTTTTAACTTTACAAGAAACAATTAGTAAAAAGGATCCTTAATTTAGGAATACGAAGTTTTAATCAAAGTTTCAGCCAACAACGGGCGATTTTAGAGCGATTAAAAAATCCACTATCCAGTGGATAGCGCTATGGAGTACAATTATTTCATTAATTGTACTGCAGTACATAGATACAACAGATTTTGCTAAACTAAACATACAACCTAAACAGCCCTGGAGGAACTAAAAGAGGCCAGAAAGGTGAACGAAAATGCTGCCAAAAGTACAAAATAATGTACAAAAGTCCGACAGGACTGTAATCCCACAAGAAACTATCGTGTTTGCATTAAAAATTACGTCCGAAAAGTTCGCGATAAAGCGAAACGAAAGTTGTAGGATTATTATTATGCTAATAATACACAAATAATCATGGTGGCGAGTCCAAACTGGCAAAATTTTAAAACATCACGGGTACTATTAATCCCTAATAATTATTGTACTCGCCATCGCATGATTACCTTCAAATACATAAGTAAAATGGAAGGGTCTGTATATAAACCGTAGTATGTCGTACTTGCTTTCTTGCTGGCAGTAAATTCTAGGCGTTATCCAAAAATAATTTATTTCTACTATTATTTCTTCACATCTTTCTTTGATGTTGAAATGTTCGAAGTAACATTAGCAAGTTGCCAGTCTACGAGCCTCATAAATAGCCTAGAATGGCCTACTAGACCCCTACGCAGACGTGTATTTTAAATGTATTGTTATATATGTACCACTTCGTGCTTACTTCATACGAAAGAAAGCCTGCCTCCCCCCCCCTCTGTGTTAATCAAATAGATTCTAAATCATTGCTAACCTGCGACACAAATCGTAAAAGAATCACCGAACTCTTGTCTGATGTGTTTTACCAGGTCAGCAGCATACACCAAATTCTCATCCACCACTTCAAAATCTTCACCATGAGGGGGGTCTTAAATGGAAAAGAAAAATTCAAAAAAGCGCAATTACGGATAGCTATGATTACAGACAGTCTACAGGTTTTGCTATAGTCTGAGAAATATTATAAATGCATCACAATCAAATTTGAAGTATTGCGTATATCGGTAATTTTCTCTTTAACACATGCACACGCGCTAACGGTTAAAGTTTTGCAATATCGACTGGCACGAATACTGACCAGGATATCTGCAATGTCAAATGCATTGGGGATTTGAGCCTCTCTACTCTTGATGTTCTTTTTATGAGTAACACTGCGTGTAGAATTCTGCGTTTCTGTCAATTTAAATCACCCGGGCGAACCTGTCTGGATGAAATTAAAGGGTCTTCCTTTCGAGAGGAAATGATACACATTTCAAATTCACGCACAGAACATTTGAGAAAAATGTGTCAAAAACCCTCTGGCAGGAATCAGACCGAAGGAGGACAGTCGACATTTTTTTCTCATGAACTGTTCCTGGCTTCAATGTGAAATGTGTATGATTTCCACTGGATGATAAAACAACCGCTCAGCGCACCTCCTCTCAAAGCAAGAATATTTCTTATGCCCATTGATTTCGCTTTGTATAAATGCTTCGTAATAGTTTCCCTCGTTTCATTCGCACAAGTAATATGCAACATAATCTCCACGCCACAGTAGTTCAACGCAGCACCAGCAATTTGCATTGAGCTTGTTTCCTTATCACCGCCTGGGTCACCAGCGGCATGCCACGTGATGTCACAAAATAATGGAGAGCTTGCCGAAAACCTAGTAACAGAAAATAGTCTCGGAAAAGTGGTAAATAAAACTCGCATGGCATACCACAATATCATGCGGCACTTATCTTTACATCATTAGAGATTTGCTGGACGTGATGTAAAATCTAACATTTTTATGAGAATAATAGGATGAACAGTAATAATATAACAATAACAATTTTTTTCTTATTTTGTGCGAATATCTATAATAATAATAATCAAACGCGCATTACAATATACTTATACAATAATAATATTATAAGAATTAAGCTAAAATATTCAATTTACCTAGTTTATACATTAAAAATAAATTTAGAAAAATAGAGAACATGCGTTAAATTTATCTACTGAAAAGCTATATCTTGAATATATAATATTATAATATTATACGGCAATAAAGAAATCATTTGCACTGCAAACAAAAAAGGATGAATTCATGTTAGAATTAAATTTGATTTCAAATTTTTTTGCCATTTTCGTTTTCATTTCGCCATGTTTTTCATCCCTCAATGGATTGCTGGTTCATTCCGGAAGTTCCGCTCGATTACTGGTCGTTAATGGCTGCTGAAAATTACTTTAGACAAATCTCGAGGCGTATCACCTCACCGAGAGTGATACTTGCCATACAATATCGTTAAGAAACCATGTATGTTACGTTCATTTCGTATTAATGTGTTTTTTATCTGAATTTTTTTATGCATGCATCCATGCAATAATGAAAATTTATACAGGAGTACAAGAGTTCGTTTTCTCAATTAACAACCTAGAATTTTCGTTATCCACTGGCAACAAGCTCGGTCGCCGGCGACGACCATGCACACCACACGGAAGGTGGTGAATATAGAGGCAGGCGGTGTGAACTCTATCCTTGGGAGTGTATTTTGGTTTTGTTCCGCACATTGTTTTATAAAACAAAAGCAATTACCATTTTGTTTTTAAACACGTCAGGGTTACAGGTTTAGACCGAGGTTTAAGTTTAGAGTTATAGTTGTATCTCAATATAGTTTAAAGTTCCAATAACCATTCAAAACCTTGCCGACCAATGCAAAAGGGATTTCGCTTTTCGACATTTTTTATTAGAGATAATCCTTCACTCCATCGTGTCTAATATTTTCTTGGAGTTTATAAAAAAAGAGAACTGATTTCCAACAAAAAATAAGTAACTGTATAGATCCGAGGCTCTCAGAAAATATCATTGCAAAGTTTGATTTCAAGATGTTTTAAAATGCGGGGAATATAGCCTGGCAAAGTTTGCAAATTTGTATACTTTTTTACGAAAAACGGAAATTGAACTGTGATTTGAACTGTCATATTAGTTTAACCGTACTTTTCTAGTTTTCCAATCAAGTTTGCCGCCCCGGCTGGCGTTCTTGGCGGGAAAAACTCCAGCGAGAAGAATTTCTTCTCTAATCCCATACTTTGTTTGATTTTCTCGATGAGAGAGAGTGGTGTCGATGTTCCTGACGACGGCGAGGGACATTTTCTCTTCGTCAGGACACCACTTTCGAATGAGTCTTGTACCATCATTTAGAAAACTCTACAAAGAAAACCAAAATGATCAATAACTACCTCTGATGAATACTATAGATGTAACTTTAAGATAATATACCGCGCTGTTTCATTGCCGCAAATTCATAGTTTGCTTTTTGATTCTTCGATGTCGGCTCTTCCTATCATTGCGAAGCAGATTTTGCCAAGCGTCGGATTGTTCACCCGCCAATAGGGAACGTGAGCTGGGTTTAGACCGTCGTGAGACAGTCTAAATGAATGGTTGTTGCAATAGTAATTCCTGCTCAGTACGAAAGGAATCGCAGATTCAGACAATTGGCTCATGCACTTGCCTGAAAAGACAATGGTGCGAAGCTGCTACCATCTGTTGGATTATGATTGAACGCCTCTAAATCAGAATCCGGGCTGTGCTAGAACAAAACGCTGTGTTTTCTTAGGAAGTCGCATTTAATCAATTCTTTAACTAGAATTTCCGTTGATTACTCTGTGAACTGCTAACGCGTGAAAATAAAGATGAAATTATGTAGACATAGCGTGTAGCGTGCATCAGTACAGCAGTCCTATACATTGGGATGCAGGCAATCAATGATTTTTCATTGCAGAAAGCCAACATAAAGTTGATACCTGCACAAAGCCAGCGTTAGGACGACCTATTCACCAAGACTGATCGTGAACTCATACGTTATATTTGACGACTTAGTTTTTATCTCAGGCAAATCCGGCTCTTATAAAGCCTTGGCTTAAGTCTGTAATCCCAGATTATTACGGAATATAAAACAGTACGGTCAAATTTTAAATCCTAATTAGCTTTGGGGCATACTGAAATATGTCCTAAACACGAAATACTACTGGAAAGTTCTCTTTCAAACTGAAAAACTTATAGCTAAAATTATTTTTTGTTAAGAATGATAAATTATGTTTGTATACATAGATAAGCAATTTCAAGCTTAAATAAAGTACTCAATTCTATAATTTTACACCTCATTCACACACGTGTTATTTAAGTTTTAACAAATTAACACATTCGTGTTTGCGTGGGATGTTATTCAAAGTTTTGACTTAACCACAATGTGTCATCCGATTTTTAATCAAGCGCGTGTTCATAATGCGATAACTTGAAGTAATACACACGTGTGTGTGGGACTTAATTCACATTAGGCATTACTCTGCTTTACATACTCTGGTATGGCAAAAGAGGAAGTTACTAACAGGAGAGTTATAACCGAAAAGTAGTTTAGATCACGCCTAAACATCGTCCTCTCTTCACAACGGCGGCGCCCATTTTTCCCAATGAGAATTACTCCGCATGAGGTCATATATAATGAGGGTTCTGCAGTACCATTTGCAATAACTTTGTGTTCACAAATATGTTTATGAAGAGAGTTGTTTCCAAAAACCTCCAAATTTTGTAACTTCAGTCTTACATTTTAGTGAAAGGGGCAGATAAATTATAGATACTTTCTATTCCTGTCAACTTTGACACTACAATTTTTTAAAGGAAAATATTGCAAAAACGTTACAGACTTTCCAAAACTGACATCATCACTCTCTTTATAGTCAGAATTGTGAAGGCTAGAACATTTTAGAAATTTTCTGTGATTCTCTAAAATTTTTATACTGTTAAAAAGAGAGTTACTTATGTTAGAGATAGGAATCATCGGCAGAGTTGAAATTAGGCATGGTCATTGGGAAAAGAGGTGTGGTTTGGACCAGGCCAAAATTTAAATCTCCAAAATCATAACTCTCTAAAGTAAGTCTTCGCTTTATAACTCTCCATTTGGCTGGCTACGCTAAGACTATGAGGAGCATTTAAGCGGCCCATTAAACAAAAATACTTCACCCTGAATGTAGCACCTAGGTATTATTCAGTATAGTATATAGTATAAAATTCAGTATAGTATATAGTATTGACATGGCTTTAAATAACAAGTCATGCAATGCCTAAGGCAATATAATTATGGATGGATTTGTCTTCCATGTCCCTTCTGACAATCCTAATGGACTCTGTGCAGTTCATCACTGATCAAATACCCTGCTTAATAGTACAATGTGTTAAATCTCAAGATGTTCATTTTCAGATGTAATGATGGTATATTGTTACAGTGTTCACAAATGAGTCAAATATAAGCATTCAATGGTTCTCCTTTAAACTACAGCACTTAAGGATTTGTAGAATCCTCAAGTGCTGTAAAAAAATTGTTGCATGGCTGCTTCTTGTCATAAAAAAGTAAAGTGGGATCTTTTTAAATGAAGTTTCAGTTGTGTAACATGCATGTTTTTGTTCCTATATAACAAAACACTTAATGTAAACTACCTCAGGAAATAGTGAGTTTTGTTTTCCCTCGAGTCTCAATGTTTTCAGACCCTTGGGAAAACAAAACTCGCTATTTCCCTTGGGAGCATACATTAAGAGTATAATAATATGTGTATTCTATTTGGTCACAAACAGTATCAGAATGAAACAATAAATTCCTATGTTTGTCTAATATTGAGTCTAAAATCTAGAATAAAGCCAGAAATTTTTTAAACTGATATGATTTCTGTGATAATTAACTATTACAACACATACAAACATATATCATATGCTAGTTCACTAACCCCTTGGCCTAAAAAATAAAGTAAAGCCCCCATTTTATGAATATATATTAATACTCATCTTATGATACAAAAATCAATGAAAAATTGAAGATGTTGTTGGAGGAAGAGACCCAGACCTTCAAAACAACCATATATTGAATGTAGATGTAAGATTACATCAGCCATTATGATTGGATATGACAGGAGTGATGTGTGTCATAAATTACCAATAATGATTAAAAAAAACACGGTATTAATGTGCCTTTTGTTTGCTTCCAGACCAGATTAGGCACACCAGATGGGTCAGAAAAGCACGCAGATGCAAAGCAACGCATGGACATGGTTGTATCCGAATGTGAAATATTCAAATAACTATTGTTTCACCACAATCAATGTGAATTGCGTTAGCCGTATTAAAATAAAATACACACAGCTCTTGGCAGTGCTCTACAATAATCTTCCAAAAATGTACAGGCCCCTGTTTATGAGTAATTTTTTTTATTCGTCAAATATAAATATAAAATTGCAATCGAAATGCAAACCTCGAAATTCTATTCAATAATCAAACCGGTTTGAACCTGTTGTCAGGCCCTGAAATACAGGGACAACTTGATACTCCGTTATACAAATATATATTATAATAGTATCAGGAAAGATTTAATATAACACGCGATATCTACTTACATCTTACATAACATTCTTTTAGATTTAAACAGAGCTTTCCACCTCAACTTTTGCACTTTAACCTTGAGTAATTCTGTACGTGACTGCAGCAGTCCGTGGTTCAGTGCTATGCCAGTATGCCTGCTATGGTACACGTGTTCGCAATTGTTTCATCAGTGTTCCATGTGATAGTGTTACGACCTGGGAAAATTACTGGCACGATTTGCTGGTTAAATAAGCTTGAAGTTTAACTTCAGAATTATCTTTGTCTTAAAAGCCTATGATTTCTTTTATTAAAAATCATCCAAAGAAGTCACGATATTTCTATATAAATACTATGGATTTTTTAAAGTTATTCATTCATTACGATTGAGCCCGAGAATTCAAAACAAAGCTCAGGAAAAAGTCAGAGGAGAAAAGTAAATAAATGTAGTTACAATCCGAAACGTCATGTAAGCAACAATGTTGCAATCATCTGTTCTGCATAAATTCGGTTTGCTTCGGCACATGATTGTACTGTGATTGTACATTTTTGAAGATTTCTCCTTTGTTCGAATTGTTTCATTATGCTTTTGAATACGATTCTCGTTTTTGCGACATTTTTCACGACTATTCGAGCTGATACCCCTGCAAATTGCACATTTGAAGATGTTCAGGGCACGTGGACGTTTATATCGGTGAAAATGGCCACGATAATACATTGAACTGTAATACAAGTTGGAAAGCTGTCACCCAACTGCGCGTTCACTTACTGTTTCCAGACATCGCCTTAGATGATGACTATAACAAAGGATTCTGGACAATGATATATAATCAAGGCTTTGAAGTTGTCATAAATGGCACCAAATTTTTCGCTTTTTCAAAATATGTTGCATCGGGAAGTAAGGTTACGAGTTATTGCGACCAAACAATGCCAGGTTGGTCACATGATGCGCAAGATGTTAGCAAGAACTGGGCATGTTTTATGGTAAGTTCAAGTAAAGTCATAGGCAGCCTAAAAGTAAGCATGAGCCATCAATGTTTAGCATGCTTATTTTCGGACAGCCTGATGATGGCAAATGATAGCATGTGTAACGTTAACCTATACTTCAACCCAATTTTTACTCTAGGAAATCATGATCGAGACTGTCAATTTATTTTAGACAGGATATATTGTCATCATACAATACAAGGTCACCTAATGGTTGGTGTTAGGTTTAAATAGCATTTTACTGTTACCCCACTTGTAAGTAAACTAGATTTCCAACCTTGTGGTACTCTTAATGACAACAGTTTTCAATGTTGTTAGGGTCTGGGTGAATCATTTTGGGCCAAATTGTGTTAACATATTGTTTGGTCCTGAATTATTTTCTTAGGTTTCATCCATACTAACCTGTATGTGTTGATTTCCAATTTATTTCTTATCTTGCACAGTCTTATCTCGCAATATTTTTGTTGATTTACAGGAAAAAAGATAAATTCCATTCAAGCTCCAAAAGTTAGCAACATGGCATTCCTGAGTTCATCTAAATATGACAAACCATACCGACTAAACAATGACTTCATTGTAGCCATCATTGAGAAACAAAATCATTGGTTTCCCACGGTGTATAGGGAGTATGAAAAACTTACACTGCGAGAAATGATGTATAAAGCTGGAGGACCAAAGAAGTTCCAATCACCTCCTCCAAGGTACAGTAGTAATTGATGGTGTTGGTGTGCATCTTACATACAGTCTATCCTGTATGGCAAAATACTTCTCCCAAAAGTATACTACACTGGATGTTACTTTAAGTAGCGATAGGAAGTTGTATATATAGCAATAAATGTACTAAACCTACATAGGCAAAAACTCTGAGCCTATAGTTTATCAACATGCAACAATGTTGTGCTGCCATTATTGTTCACACTTGTCAACAACATTGAACAATGATGTTGAAAATGAATCAGGTGTAACAATATTGTTCAATGTTGATAACAACTCCAATGTTGATGACAACTCTGAACAATGTGGTCAGTAAAACATTGCTCCATCCTGGTCATATCAATATTGCATCAACCTGATCATTTTTAGGCATGTAGGTTATTTTTCTTTAATCCCTATAAATGTACAGTTGATTCAATGAAGTTGTTCTTCAAAGCCTTAAATTATGACTTAGGTTACTTTTATTATTATGGCTATTATTTGGCTACTATATTTTCATTATTTTAGCTACTATATGGCTATTACTTTTGGCAGTTATTTTGGCTGCTTTTATTAATAATTTTTTTTATTATTTTATTATTTTTTATTGTTTTTGCTACTCTTATTATTTAGCTATTTTCATTATTATTTATTAACCTACTATTATTGTGGTTACTTTCCAAGGCTGTTCCAAAACACATTTGCCTCATCATTTCTTTGTTTAGACCCGTCAAAAAAGAAGACCTTGAGGCCGCTGATAAACTACCAACTTCTTTTGACTGGCGGGATGTAAATGGCGTAAACTACGTCAGTCCTATACGAAATCAGTTGCAATGTGGCAGTTGTTATGCGTTTCTACCATGGGAATGTTTGAAGCCCGGTCACGTATTAGCTCTAATCTCACCACTGGTTACATTTTGTCCACCCAAGATATCGTCAGCTGTTCTGAGTACTCTCAAGGATGTGAAGGAGGTGACGCGTAATTTTTTTCATAACCTGTGCTGGGTTTTTAAAAGCCGATTAGCTTTATAGGTACTGAGCCTCCTAGAAACATTTGAAGTTAAGCAAATTTCTATCGAATTCTACTAAAATGCGGGCAAATTTTCGCATAAATCGGCAATTTGCGCTGACCTAATTCCAAAAACTTTTCCTGAAATCGTTCGTCTACCGCTTCAAAATTTCCTTCCCATGGGGTCATACTAATTACCGACAAGAACCGACAAAAACCGACAAGAAGCTGAGAAACACCGACAAGAAGCAGAGTAATTAGTATGACCGTGAAAATTTTCCTTCCCATGCCCATGGTTTAATTTTGGATTAGTACAGATCTTCAAATATAAAACTTTTGGAATTGAATCCTCAACTCAGTCTTTAGGGCACATGAGCCTGGTTACCGAGATTTAAAAAATTAACTTTAAAGTATTGAAAAATGTCTTTTTGAAACAGAACAATCGCATACTATTGTGAGTATGATTACACGACTACCAAAATCGAGTTATTTACACATTTCAATACCTTAAAGTCCATTTTACGCCAAGTTCGATCTCGGTAGTCAGGCTCATGTGAACAGCCCCTAAGTAAAGCGCAAAAGTGTCTTTATAAATCAAAGTGGAACTACAATTCCTATGGTGGAAGGCTAAACGAGAAAATCATTATATTTTTAAGGTTTTCCTTATCTCATCAGTAAATATGGTATTGACTTTGGTTTGGTTGAAGAATCTTGCTATCCTTATGAAGGAAAAGACAGCAAGTGTACCGAATCATCCTCATGTGCTCGTCATTATGGCAATAACGACTATCACTACGTTGGCGGCTTCTATGGCGCCTGCAATGAGCCGTTAATGCGGTTAGAACTCGTAAAAAACGGGCCTTTTTCCGTAAGTTTTGAAGTGACCTCCGATTTTATGCACTACAAAAGTGGCATATATGTCAATCCAGGTAAGTAGACGGATGAAAAAATCTTCTATCGCGAGTGCGGGCTGTCACAGTTACTATTAGGGATCTAATAGAAGATGCACAAATCTACGTACGTATAGAGGTGACATGAAATCAGCCGGTAGCGTTAGAAAACGAAGTTTTTATTAGTTTTACGTGCAGCACTGACCTTGATCACCAAAAGGAGTCCATAATTTTTATTCCTCTCCTTATATGTCACTATAAAGAACAAGAAGCAGTATATATTATTTAGTAAATGACATATAATCAGGCATACACTACACGGATTAAACTATAAGACATTTAGAAACTGTGAAAATGACGACAGTATTACTTCACGTCCACGTCGTATAGATTTGGTGTATTTTAAGGTCCCTGTGATTAATTGATGTAGTTCACCCCCTGAAGTCTTCATGT